GAGAGAGAGAGAGATGATGACGACGACGACGACGACGACCTTAAGTTTCTCTAAGTTACTGGCTTAACACAAGATTTTTGGTTCTTCTTCTTTTTTTGAGTGAGGTTCTAACACAATAAATCGGGCAGGATTTTAGCAAATGATCCACATGGACGCTCAACTTGTAACGATCGAACAAATAGCACATTGGAAGTCATGAATCTCACCTACACTCAGTTCCACTGACAAGAGTGACATATCACCACGAAAAGAAAAAGGAAAAAAACAAAGATCAAGAAAAAACTTCTCTTGAGCCCAACAATTACTTGAATCAGGCGAAAGAACAACTGCATGCTAAAAAATATGAAAGAGATGAACTTTAAGCACAGTAAACACTACAAACCAAAACCATCATAAAAACGCAGCTTCCGAATCCAAAATAAAGCAAGACTCTGCCCTAAAAGTTGCAATTTCCTAACGACAATTGAGGCAATTGCAGAATCAGCACATGACACGTATTCGAAATGAATTTTCCTACTAAAACACAAGCAAAAGACAAGTAGATGGCAAACCCCGCCATCTACTTGTAAAAAAGGGAAAAAAGAGGAAGTGCTTCAACATGCAAACATGGCAACTCCAAACATCAGCAAAGACCAATTTTTGGCTTGCCCAAATCGATTTTCTTCGAAAATTTACCCATATTCCAGCAAATAATTCTAGAAAGATGTAGGTAGGAAAGAGAATATAAGAGAGAGAGAGAGAGAGATAGCAGAAAGGGGTTCTCACTCTCGACGATGGCGAGAGCTTTGGAGTCGTCGGGCTTCTCCTCGGCCGGCGGCGGAACCGAGGCCTTCTCCTCCGCGACGTCCTTCACCGCCTCCGCTGCCGGCGGCGGCTCCGGCGCTGCCTCCGCCTCCACTTGCTTCGGCTCCTCCGCTCCCATCTCCCCAAAGAAGAGCCTCCAAATCCAACCAAGTTCCGCACACACAGCAACGACACAGAAGAGACTGTTGGAGAGCTCAAATGCGTCTCTCTCTCTCTCTCTCTCCCTATATATATATGTATATATACGCGTAACGGATAGCGGACTGTTATTTAAGAACGGAAACAGAAGGCCGTATCGTAACGGAAAACGCACGTGCGAGGTGTCATTCGACGCTGCGAGTGGGCCCCGCACCAGGGGACCTTCACATGGCCGCTGCAAAACGGTGGGCCCGATGATGTGGACGGCAAAGAACAGGTGGGACCCGACTCCCATGTGAGTCGACCCGTAGGTCGTGAGAAGTTGGGTCGGTTCGGTGGAGCCCGTGAGCTGCCATCATCACCGACCCATGATGATGTCACTCCATGATGCAACGTGAACCGCTCGATCCGCCTTTTTCATAAAAAAAATAAAAAAAGGGAAAAAACAGAATTACTAATAAGTTTATTAAAAAATTCAATTTAGCTGGTAAAATATTTTCGTTTATATTTAAAAAATAAAAAAAAATTCTAGGATGATATATATATATATATATCCCATACATGGGAATAATTTTAGGGGTAATTTTCAATTCAATAATATTTTTTAAAATAAAATAATTCATTTAAATCATTTTTAAAATCCTTACCTCCCATTATACCACCACATCTCACACACGTGTTGTCGACGATGATGATAAATCCATATGTAGCGTATATGACGACAAATAAAAATCCATCAATAAATATTACAATCCTCCGAGCTAAAAGGTAAAAGTATGTCCGCAGAAATAGAGATAAGGGCCGTACTTGACCGTTGGCCTATTTAATGGTGACGGTGTGGAGGTGTCGGCTGGTTCAGGAAATTAAGAACGAAAAAGATGATAATGTTGACGTCGCTATCACCACAATAATGTGTGAGCGGTGTGGTTGGTCACACTATTCATTGAGCCACACACTGTCCTTAGGCTCACATGCTATTGAATCTAACAATAGTAAAGCAATTATAATATGTATATATATATTAAGGTAGGCAACTATGATAAGACATATCTGGTTCTACTTGCATATTGCTTTTCAACTTCACGGTGGATGATGAGAGGGTTGGAAAAGACAACATAAATACCAATCACGGGGACATTTCAATTAGTGTTGGTAATTAGTCCACATCAAGAGGTGGATATTTAGAGGTGGTGTTTTGGGTAGTTCCTCTTCCCCAACACACTTGTGTTGGACAAGTGGAGGCAGAGAAAGCTTGGTGTCATGTCCTCATGATACCATCCGGCTTGTGTCGTGTTGTGCTTCGATTACGTAGCTTCCTACCTCATCTCTATCTATCTTGCTTTTATGTTTTTTCTTGTTGCAGCATTAGAGATTTTCACCATCTAATATCATTGAACAAGATAATGAAAACGAGAGAAAAGTCTCTTCCCTCCTCTCTTTTTTCTTTATTCTTTTTTATTTTATTCTATAAAGAGATTAGATTGTGATGGAGGAGAATAAACTTTAAGATAATTGTAATCTCTTTTTTTTTTTTACACAAGGGCATAAAAAGATGGATGATTTCTATATAAACAATATATATTTTTAATTTTTTTCTCAAAAAAATTACTTATTATTTTTCTTATATACTATCCATATTTGCTATAATTCTATAAATGTCTTTCCTTCCCATTTTTTTAACTATCGTCTCTACTACCCACTCGCCTACACTCCGAGATAAGTGATGGGTAAAAAAGGGATAAAAACTATAAGGCCAATAGACAACGCACGAGAAATGGATAAACATGACATGTGTAAGGCTTTATAATAGAAAGCAGAAACAGAGGTAACAAACATGATGGACGAGAAAGACATCACACAAGGCATAAGACACGAGCATTAAGCGAGCAAGCGATACCGATGAGACAAAAGTGGTGAAGACGATCGAGTGAGAAGAGAAAAAAAAAATATTTATGAAATTATAGTAAATAGAGATACTACCTTCAAAAAAAAAAATAAGCGGTATATTTTGAGGGAAAAAAAAATTGAAGTGAAGGGTTTTTCAAAAAAATCGTCCATCAAATCGTTGGCACGTAGGTCCCCAAGAATCAATAGTGCGATCAAGCAAGTAGTACTTAAAACGTTGCCATGGCTTTGGATCCCTCGGAGTAGAGTTCCTTCTATGCAATCGTGTGTGGGGCATTGGATTCGAAATGTCGAGCCTGACAGCGAAGTCTGTCGGCAGCCAACCTTTGGGTTGGGTCGTAATCCGAGTTGTAATCCTGCAGCCACTTGCCGTTGTTCGGTGTCTGTCCACCGTTCGTTTCCCTCTCCCTTCGCCCCCATCCAACCATGTTATCTCATAAGACATGTGGATAGGAGACTTGTGAGCCTCCATTCCTCATCTCTCTCTCTCTCTCTCTCTCTGGAGACAAACAGGTGAGCCCATTGAAGATTTGGTGGCCTTTACAACTCATCGGATTCCCACAGGCTTCAGAAACACTGCGTCAAACAGGGATGAGATGGGGTCGAGCCAGGTGGATGCCAGTTGGTTCTTGGTAGTATCCTATGCTTAAGTAATACCCATTAATCTGTAGGAGTCAATTGTGACTAAAAAGAAAGTAAATTTTGAGGTCACTAAGCCAAATTGAGTACATACCTTCTCATCTCGGTGTACAATATAAAGTGAATCATAGTATTCTTTCCAAAAGGAAAAGGTAGACAATTGCCAGAGACTTTGGGAAAAGTTGCATGCATCTGCATAAACTTTGGTATTGCAATCATTGAAGTCAGTCTTGGGTTGGATGACAAACTCTTGGTACCATCGTCAAGTTTTCTATCTCTAAGACTATACATACAAAGATATTTCGATGGAATCATTGTCAAGTTTTCTATCTCTGTTAGCCTTACATTTGTTACCTACTTAATTAGTTTATGATTTCTTTTAGTTGTACATGAAGTGTAGGAGGTAAGGAGGAGATCGAAAGGGGTTCATGATGTATGAGATGCAAGCTCGATGGTGCTGTGGTCTCTTCCCTTGTCCTGCTAGTACACAAAAGGTCAGATGTGATGGCTTGCCTACCGCTACAGGGCATATTAGTCGATGTTGCTGACAATGGGATCGAGAAGATGGCAATCATATGTCGAGATCGGTGATGTCCTTCAAAAGTTACACTCGGATGTACAAGTTGTATCCACTTTGGTCTTTAGTGGCAACGAACCAACCGATGGCAGAAGAAGATGATATCAATTGTGGTATCATACAAATTGATGGCTGAGATACTATGGATTCTGCAATCAGAATTCTTCTATTAGGTCCCATGTTTGTCTTTAAGAACTTGGAAATTTCGAAGAGAGATTACCAGAGAAAACAATCCAAAATAGCACAAGACAAACTGTCCCTCCCAGTAACGAAATAAATTGCTAGTTGATTCTACATTGACTATTATCTGCTATTAGAAGCAAGGCATCTACCGAAACCACTGAGAAATATGGACATTAAGCTCAACGGGACAAACCAAAAAGAGGCAATGACAGACATATCAAGAACAACTTATATTACTTTGCTAACAAGAATCAAATGTATCAATGTACTCTTCAAAACATAAAACACACTCAACTAGCAACTTCTCATCTAATAATAATTCTGCTTTTATCCAGAGAACTAAGAAAAGGAAACATAGGACATAGCTTTACTGCTAGACTTGTCATCTTTGTATAAAAGCTGCCTCGTAGCCACCTGTTTGTTCACAAACAAAAAGCAAGTTTCTACAAGAAACCATGATCTGATTCTCCTAAGACACTGTAACACTTATCCTTAAGTTCCAATGTTGCAGTGTCATTGTCTACTAAAGTTTAGACTTTAACTTTAGCAGGTTGGCATCACAGCCCTTTGCTGTCCCCAAGGGTTACTCTGCAAAACTCTTTCCGCCTCTTCAAAGTGAAAAGCTCACTACTAGAAGATTTCCTTTTTCTCTTTTGTGCTTTTAGCTTTCTTCCCCTGGGGCTCCAATTACAGGAGCTCACAGGCTGTACCAAAGGAGCAGCTACAGCTCTCCAAAATCCCACAACACAAACTTGCTCTATGTAGGTTCACTCTAGTAGGCCATGAACAGCACAACACAGTATCAGCTAGGCCAATTGCAGTCCACCTTATACCTATCTCACTTGTCACGGTTTACTTCCTCCCTTTTAGCGTAGCTATAGGAAAACAGATGTTATAATTCTACACAACTTGCAATAATTGATCCAGGGATCGCTATTACCTGAAATTCTTTTTTTTTCCAGAAAATAAATCTTGTATTACTAAAACGAATACAACCAGCAATGGATAAATTAGGCCTCTTTGCAAAAAAGAACTTTTAGTTGACTGTCGGGCCAACCGATTCAGACTATTTTACTTGACCCAGCTGTTACCAGAAGTTCAACATGATGTTTACACCATGCTGTTTTACCTGTACACAACATAAAACACTGATATTTTCAGGTTTTTCACAATGATATGCTGTAGTGTATCAGATTGGTAATCATTTTTTATACCCAAGATTTAGCTTTTCTTTTATGTGTATGAACAGCTGATTGCAGTCACTTTGTCTATCAACAAAGAAATATAATGCTCTGTTAAGCTTAATGTATTACAAGCCAAGTCTATTTGAGTAGCAAATTACATGGTAACATGTCCCAATGTAACCTGAAAATTTTAGGATCTTTGGCTCAGTTAAGCTCATTCTTAGTTTTTTAGGTGTGTGGCACCTAAAATAATGGATCTTGCACACTTTGTGGATGCAAATCCAAGCGAAACATCCTATGCTGAATGAAACATGTGATCTCCACTCTCCATCTGTGGGAGTTAGTAACATTTATTCTGTAGAAACCAATGCTATTCTTGTGATCAATTTCATTTCTCCCATCCAAACCACACTGGACTCTGCACTTGCTTTCCATAAATATATCCGTAGTATATCTTCTTCAATCTCAATCCCATCCCTCCAACAGAATGTGTCTTACACTCTTTCTGATATACCATATTCTTAATGAATTTCAATATATTGGAAAACCTTTAGCGTGCCGAGAGTGAGGAGACGAGGTCGAACCTCTACATGTTGCTCTCTCTCTCTCTAAAATTGTTTGACAACTTCGACTTTGCATAATACTTTACATTTTAATTGACAACTGCATTTTTTAATCTTCATTACATTTTAGATTAATTATTAGTGTAATTGGCATTCAGAAATTAGCATAAGCATATCTTGACAACATCAACTGAATTATATGTATATTGAGTGCAGGATTTATTATTGTGATTATGTCAAGATTTCTCAAGCAAATTGGACAATGCTTGGGCTCAGGGTGGCATGTTTGGGTGTTAAAAGTCTATGATATGTGTTATAACACCAAGGCAAATGATCTTGCTTATAAAGTATTTTATGAATCCATCAGAAATTATGCAACCAACTCAAACAAAAGAAAATGTCTTATTATTCATGGCAACCAACTATATACACACAGGGAGCTATAGCTTTTCCCCTACTCACAACAGCAGTATTTAACAAACAAGTATCATGCAAAAGGTCTAACTGTGAGATGCTCATCTAGATCTATTGCAAGGAAATAAGGCAGTCAAATATGATAATTATTAGAAGTTTGGAACAGTGATATGCAACTATATATATATATATACACATATATGTTGCTAATTCTCTGATATTTCAGAGTAACCACGTGGTGCATCAGCACGAGCAGGAGCAATAACAGATATCACAACTGAGGCTCCAAGAAAAATCAAAATAAGAGCAGTGAAATTTACCAAGAAGGCCTCTGAACTATACTTGTAGAGGCCTGAACTCTCCAGAAAAGTGAGTTTCTCCAGGAAGCCTAGCTCTGCAGTGGCCACAGCTAAAATGTAGACGAACAGCCCAAATAATACATGCCAAGGAAGAGATTTGCCTCTCAGTGCGGGTGGAGCACCAGGAAAGAAGAAGGTTACAAACCCGAGAATCCACTGCAAGGAAGAAATTAAAAGATAAAGTAACATTCAAGCTACAAATAAATCTGAAAGATAATGCAGATATTTTAATATTAAATCCAGCAGCAGTGCAGACTCTTCAGCAAAAAAAATGAAGTTGCCAAGTTCTAATCAATCTAATGACAATACCATTAAAATTGTTAAAAAGTATTTAAATTTATGTACTATTTATTAGGAAAGATATTATTGAGAAAAATAAATCATGATAAGATTATCATAATCCTCTCAATAATTTTGATACTATGCTATCATGATCTGAACGTGATCTCCTAAATCATGAAATGATTTAGTAAATATTTTATATTTATTATTGATTAAGAAAATCATATAATTATCATATTTTGTAATCTCTTTTTGTGTATATAAATTCATATACACTATCTATAAAATTAAACTAGTCATTATTTCACATGGTATTAAAGCCACAATTGCTTCAAGGAGTTCCTTTTTCTTTTGATCCTCTCTTTATTATTGTTGCTTTGTACCTCTTCCTTCATTGTGGTTGAAGGTAGCATGTAACTCTTTACTATTGTTGCTTTGTACCTCCTCCTTCATCATGGTTAAATGTATCATTGCAATTTCTATTGAGCTTTATGTTCTAGCAAGCTTCTCTTTCTTGTAAGTGGCTCCGGGTCTTTTTTTTCTCCACGTTTCGACAAGGCCGATAATGCCTCTTCAACTAGTCACTCATCTCATATCATCTCCAATTTTTTTATTCTTGAAAATACTCTTGTCTTCATTAACGTTGTAGTCCAAACTCCTCTCAAACTCACATCTACAAACTATACCTCTTGGTATACTCAATTTTATTTTCTTTTAATCAGCTATGATCTTATGGGTTATGTAGATGGCACCATCATTTGCCCTCCACAAACGAGTAAAGAGAATAATCTTGAAGTTGTTAATCCTATATACACTTTTTGGATATGTCAAGATCATCTTCTTAGAAGTGCTATCCATGGTATGCAATTTCGAATGGTACCGCCCGATACGGGCGGTACGTACCGATCCGACGGCATACCAGTACGCGGACCACCCGCTACTGGACGGACCGTGCTACAGTGCTACTGTAAGACACTGTAGCAGTGCTACAGTGCTAATGTAAGAGGAAATCGCTCGGTATGCCCTGGTGTACCGCTCAATATGCCGGTATGATACGGTATTGCATACCTTGGTGCTATCATTGCCTCTTTCTCTCCTTAAATCATTCCCTATATAGCCTATACAAAATCCTCTTATGAAGTGTAGTCAAGCTTGCAACAATGTATGCCAATTAATCTCGTGGTCGCCTCATGTAACTTCAAGAAACTCTCTTAAACTTTCTAAGGGTACAAAATCTATTTCTGACTACATTCAGCTATCAAAACTCAAGCCAATGACTGATGCACCTCTTGATGGTGAAGAAATTATTTTTCATGTATTAAATGGTCTTGGTTTAGAATATAAGAAAATCTCGACCGTGATTCGTGTTTGCGATAGTCCTATATCTTTTGAAGAACTTCATAATAAGCTTTCTGACCATGAAGCTTATCTTAAGCAAGAGTCACCTCTGATGCTACTTCTATTATTGTCAATTTTGCTAATAAAGCTAATTCTAGCAACAAAGGCAAGATCCACAATTAGCAAGACAATCATCCAAACAATCATTATGGAGGCAACATGCAACAACATCACAACAAAAGTGTCAACAAATCTGGACAACAATTCAACAACAGAGTCACTTGTCAAATATGTGACTTGTAAGACCATGTTGCTAAGAAATGTCGTCGCTTACAAGCTGCTATTCCATGGATGTTCCGGCTTTCATACACATCTTATTCAACATATCCTATTGCACCTCCTACTCGGTTTTCATTACCACCACCACGTGCTCACTTTGCTGCTCAATCTTTTCAACATTCATCAAACTAGCTTATTGATTCCAAGGCTTCTCATCATGTCACATCTGACTTGAATAATCTATCTCTTCATTCAAATTATGATGATTCAAATGATATCATGATACGTGATGGCAAAGGTCTTCAAATAACTCATACTAGTTCTACAAGCCTTTCCTCTTCCTCAAAATTCTTTTTTACTTTTTAAAGTTCTTTGTGTTCCTGATATAAAAAAGAACCTAATATCTATCTCTAAATTATGTTCTTCTAATAATGTTTTTATTGAACTCTTACCCTTTTCATTTATTGTGAAGGATCTCAACACGGGGGCACATCTTATGGAGGGGCTGAATAGAGATAGAGTTTATGAGTGGCCAACTATTGCACCATCCAAATCCATCTTTGCTTTGGCCACCATCAAAGCTCCATCTCAAGAATGACACAATCGCTTAGGGTATCCTTCTTTTAAGGTTTTAAATCATATTGTTCGTTCTTACAATTTACATTTATCATCATCATCTTGTCATCCCTTTTCGTGTAACTCATGCAAATGCAATAAAATGCACAAGCTTCCTTTTTCTATATCCTCTCTCATAAGTAACTCGTTTGTTGAACTTATATATTTTGATGTTTGGGGTTCTTCACCAATACAATCTCATGGTTATTTCCCATGAAATAAAAATATGAATTATTCATCATTTTTCTGAAGTTCAAACTTATTGTTAAAAAGTTCTTTTAGTGATCCATTATTTTATTTTACTATGATAATGGTGGTGAATTTCAAAAACTTCCTAACTTTTTTTAAACCAATGGAATCTCTTATTTTTTACCCCTCCACATACTCTTGAACATAATAGGAGTGCAGAACATCGTCATTAGCACATCGTCCAAACTGGTCTTACACTACTTAAGCTTTCTTACCTCTTCAATTTTAATTTTATGCATTTGCCATATCAACTTATCTTATTAATCACATGCCCTCTCCGGTTCTAAACATATTCACTATTTGGAAAACTATTTAAATCCACTCCTAGCTATAGTAAATTACGTATTTTTAGGTATTTATGTTATTCATGGTTAAAACCTTACATCCATAACTAACTGGAAACCTGATCAAAACCATCTATCTTTCTTAGATATTATGTTAATCAAAGTGCCTTTAAATGTTTTGATCTATCAACCAAAAGAATTTTCATTTCTCGTCATGTTGATTTTGTGGAATCTGTTTTTCCTTATAAATCACTTGACTCTTATTTACCTAGATAAACTTCCAATAACTTTATTAATTGGGTTCCCCAAATTCATGAGTCATCGCATATTATCATTTCTGTTCAGATCGAAACATCAACCCCATCTACTAATCCAAACACTATCTACTCAAATCCCACTAGGTCCTTCCTCAATGGTGCATGATGAATAACAGATTATCTCATCCATCTAGCTGCCTCATGAGAGTATCACACAACAAGAGAATTCACAGCAATGTCTGAAAAATATAATGTTTCGTTACAGAATGGTACATAGGACTTGGTCCCATCTTATCCAAGTTAAAACCTTACAGGGTGCAAATGAGTTTTTTGTATCAAATGAAATCTTGATGGGTCCATCAACAAGTATAAAGTAAGACTTGTTGCAAAATGATTTCATCAACGTCCAGGCCTCAAGTACTATAACACATTTAGCCTAGTTATGAAGCCAACATCAATTCGTATTATTTTATATCTTGCTTTGTCTAACAATTGAGGACTTTGACAGGTGGACGTGAATAATGCATTTCTTGATGATAATATTTTCAAGGATGTATTTATGAGGCAACCTCCAGACTTTATTGATTACAATCTCCCTCAATATGTTTGTAAGTTGCACAAGGCTCTTTATGATCTCAAGCAGGCCCCTCATGCTTGGTACCATGAACTCTAGTCTCAGTTGAATTTCATAATTCTTAATCTGATAATTTGTTATTCATTAATTCTCATGAAGGTATAATAATATTTTTACTAGTTTATGTGGATGACTTAATTATTACCAGTAATAAACCATCAATTATTAATTAGTTTATTCAACAGCTTAGAAATAAGTTTTCTATCAAAGATCTTAGGTCCCTTAGTTATTTCTTAGTGTTCAAGTAATCTACACAGTAAATTATCTATTTCTTTCTCAGCAGAAGAAGATTCATGACTTTCTTGATCGCACCAAAGTGCTTGAAGCCAATATTGTTACTATGCCAATCTTTACAAGTATTCCTCTTACCATATCTGATAATGCTAATCTCAGTGACGCTATTAAGTATCGTCAAGTTGTTGGGAGTCTACAGTATTTGATATTTACTCATTCGGATATTACATATGCAGTGAATAAATTATCTCAATTTATGCACAAGCTTACTTCCAATCATTGGACAATTGTTAAACGTCTTCTTCGATACTTAAAGGACACTATTGATCATGGCTTATTTCTTTGAAATGACTCTCCTCTATACTTCATGCAATTTTGGATGCCGACGGGGTAAGTAATAAGGATAACAGGACATATACTAGTGCTTATATCGTATTTCTTGGTCACGATCCAATCTCTTAAAGTTCCAAGAAATAATGCTCTATTGCAAGATTTTCTATGGAGGCTGAATATCGAATAGTTGCTTCTACAACTATTGAACTTTGTTGGATTCAATCATTACTACATGAACTATTTGTGACAATATCTGATCCTTCATCTATATATTATGATAATATAAGGGCAACATATATATGTGCTAATCCTGTATTTCACTCTCGAATGAAGCATATAGCTTTCGACTTTCACTTTGTTCGTGACAAGATTCAAAATGGTGAGCTACGTGTCTCTTATGTTTCATCATCATCTTCTGATCAACTTGTATATGTTCTTAATAAGTTTTTGTCTTGCCAGCAATTCCATCTACTTTGGTCCAAGATCGATGTCTCTGATGGGAGCACCATCTTACAAGAGCATATTAGGAAAGATATTATTTAGAAAAATAAATCATGATAAGATTATCATGATCCTCTCAATAATTTTG